CTCTGGGTCTGTTCAGGATCCCGCAGTCGTCTCACTCACTCTCTGGGCCTGCGCTCTGGGTCTGTTCAGGATCCTGTGGCCCCGGTGGTCTCACTCACTCGCGGGGCCTGTGCTCTGGGAGCATTAGTTTCTTATACTCTCCAGGTTGACTCAGGACCATACGGACTCATTACAGAGTCTGGGTTCCCTCTTCATTAATCTACGTCACAGCACAAATTCTCCTTTCTCTAGGTCTGGAAGAGTCATGGAAATCAGAGTCCTTGGGTTAGGGTGGGAGAAAACAGGAAAACCATTCTCACACCTTCCAACGCTCAGGCCACCTCATTCCTTGCTCCTAGCCCTGGGAGCTGGTATTCTCTAGCTAGTATGTTGGTCTTAGTATTTAAGGGGCATCTCACAGGATACAAGAACTGGCAATGAATGGGAGACAACTTCATGTGTGTGAAACTTGCCCTCAGAGAATCGCTTCTAAACTTCTCTCAATGATACTGAATTTGATGCTGAGTATAAGCTTTCAAGAAGGTGCACCAAATATTGGGAGCTTTTTACTAACTCTAAAACCTGTTTTCCATAGGAGCTCAGTCTGAGTATTCTTGGGGAAAGATACTAAGTGGAGTTGCAGCCTTACTACTCGGATTGGTCTTCCTTCTGGCGGGAATTGTCATTCACCTCAGAGCTTGGAAAGGTAAGGAGCATTTGAAGGGAAGCCTGCCATGTGCCTTGTGCATCCCTCACTTTCCACATTTCTTACCTCAACAATTGGAGGCAGGGAAGGCTGATTGCTCTTCTCAGAGATCACTAAGCTAGTCTTTTTGGAAGCTAGAAATATTCCAGTGGGAAGCAGAGATGGAGACATGTCGGCCAGACTCTATCCCTCAACATAATCTCAGCACTTGGTCCTAATGGGGACATTCAATTCTTCCTCTCCAGCATCTGTAGATGGTTTGGTAATGAGGTAACGTCTCTTACTCCTTGTCTTTGGATGTCAGAGCATTCCCAGTTCTTTGGCCAGGGGACTCCATGGGGTCAAGGAGAAGAGAGAGGGTGTAGTTTGGTGGCATTGTTTCCTAAATCTCTGGAATGGGAGGGCGGGGTTGTCTCATGAAGCCTTTATCATCTTCTTACAGAACGCAAGAGCCATTTGTCCAACACAGCACACTAAGGTCCTAATTGAAGCTCTTCCCTGGATCCAGAGGCACTGCTCAGTGGCCTGGCCCTGAGTTAGGCAAAACACTCAAGAAATTAACGTTCTGCGAATGAACCTTTTCCATCCCAATTGGAGTCCTGAGCTAATTCTAGAGTGTGTGCCTTGAGGTCATGCATCTCCCACCTTCCTGCCCTTCTTCCTCTACTCACGTACTCCATGAGTGGCCATTTCAAAAGGCATCATCCAGTCATTTCCCTAAGACTAACCCCTTCCAATTGCAAGCTGCTTTCTTTCCTATGGCCAGACCTAACTCTTGAGTCACGATTCCTAAATCTTTATCTCTTCCAATTTTAGTCTCCATGATCGTTAGCAAACAAATGCTTATGTATCACTATTTTTTACTGTTGTAAAAAATCTTTTTATCATAAAATAAAACATATATACAGCAACATAAAATGTATAATTAATGGATTATATAAAGCAAAACCCTGGTAATCACCATTCAAATCAAGAAACAGAATTTTGGGCTGGTGAGATTGCTCAGTGGTCTAAAGCACCTACTTGGAACAAGCTTAGCAAATGCACAGGGACCGCGGTTCAGTCCCCCAGCACCACATGCCAGCCAGCCCCGCTCCCAGTGGGCTGAGCTGGCCACACACACACGCACACACACACACACACA